AAATGGAGTTTACCGCAGCTATTATAGAGGAGAGGCAGGGGATACCGGCTCCTAAATATGCTCCCAGTTCACTAGAGCAGTATGGCATTGATAGAGGACTAGAGGAACAGAACGCATCTCGGTCACCGATCACAGAGTCATCAATCAGGGGACAACACCTAAAGACAGATTCTGATGCAAGGACTAAAACAAAATTGATTGAACACAATGGGAACCCACAATCACCTATTCTGGAAGGATTAACCGTGACCTTACTCCCATGTGTCGTCTCTCCGGAGTCATTGCCCCCTTCCCACAACCTTTCAGGTAATCTTGTCAATTCGTTTTTTGATACTGATGTGGATTTTGTGCCTGGAACAGGTACCTATGCAGCTCAACTTGAAGCAGCAGCCATGGATGGAAAGCTTTTAAGTGGGGACAGGGGGGGGGCAAAGAACAAGCGGAAGAGGTGAGGAAGAGGAAATCCCAGGTAGAGGAATTAGAGAAGATCTGGGATCAGATCTGTATGTATTTGGAGGAGTACAAGAAAAAAGAGGAAGTGGTAGGAAAATATGAGGCTCAAGAAGTTTTAGTAAAAATAGGGGTTCAAAGCAGCAAAAAAGTTGGGGATGAATCAATCTTGGGAAAGATGCAGAGGGAGGAATTAGAGAGGATTTGGGGACAGATTTGTGCTTTCCTTGAGGAGTATAGGCAAAAAGATGAATCTTTGGAGGAAAATCAAGGAATTGCAGAAGGGCAGAACATAACAAAAGCAGTCTTAAGTAGATCTGGAACAATAAACAACCGAAGGAAGAAGAAAAGATCAGAGGTGGAAAGGTTGATCTAAGATATAGAAGGAGATTTAGAATTAGCGAAAGAGGGGAGAGAAGGAAAGCCTCCAAGTAGGGGCCTGACCTCAGAAGGGGAAGTCAGTTCTCTTATCTCCATGAAAATCATTAGTTGGAATGTGAGGGGCCTGGGGAGTGCTAGGAAAAGAAGGCTAATTAAGGACCTCCTTAGAAGAGAGGCCGGATATAGTGATGCTACAAGAGACCAAATTAGCTGATATTGATAGAAGATGGGCAAGAAGCATATGGAAATCTAGAGGAATAAGTTGGGTTTCAGCACCTTCTTGGGGGGCTTCGGGAGGCATTGCCACTTTTTGGGATGGCCCGTGGTGCTTGGGGGGGG